GGTCAGTGGTGAGGAGCTCTGGGACCGAATTCTGCCTGCCCCATGGTGGCCACGGGTAAGCCCCCGAACCTGGGGAACCTGCTTCCCAATTGCTCATGCCATGGACTGTCCTCCCCGGCAGCAGAGCTGCAAATGAGGCTGTAAGTGGAATCTAGTGTCTTGTTAGGAAAAAGTTTTCTGTTGTCTGTGGGACACAAAGTACCCACTGAGAAGAAAAAGAAGCCGAAACAGGAAAAGACACTTGTCAGTGAATTTCCTACTAGTGTGTTTTCTGTCTTTGTCATCTGTTGGTTGAGATCATGCAGTCTCACTTACTGATTAAGATTATACTAGTCACAGAATCTTGTAGTTAAAGAGGTACAATAAGGGACGTTCAGAGGACAGCAAAACTAGGGTAGCATGAGGATGGCTTCCCGCACTCGGTCAGGTGGCGCCTCAGGGTGCGCGTGGAGCCTGCCTCTGCGCCTGGGTCCCCCGCTGGCCGAGCCTCCACTGCCCTCTGTGTCCATGATGGTGCTTTGTCATTGCTTTTTAAAGTGGCCACCAGTGCAGCTCTCTGTCAGTTTCTCATCAGAAAGTCTGTGCTATGGGAACAAAATTAAATATTAAAGATTTTCCATCCTTTCTGAATTGAATCGTTGATTTGTTGCATAGGTTTGATGATGCAGCATTTTCAGGAACTCAGGTGAGCTGTGCAGTTCCTAGAGATTTGGGCCTCTGGTGCAGCGCATTCCTGAGTCACCTGCAGGACTTCGCGCATTTGTGGACATTTTGCCCTTTTCTGTCTTCTCTCACTGGCTGCCAAAAGTAGGTCAATACTGGCATTGTTTTGCAATCTTCTTTTATTCACCAGACACCTCAGGAGTGGTTTAGATAAGCCAGGGTCCAAGGCAAACTCTTGTGTCATCAAAGCATAACCCTTGATCTCAGTGTACTTCTTCGAGCAGTCTTATGTTCTGGGTTGCCAGCTTCTGCGTCTGAAACTTGCTAGCGAGGCTGGAGAGTTTTGATAGGACTGGAGGCGCCTGTCCTGTGCGTGCCCCGGTCACTCTCGGGCGTCGGACGCCTCTGTGTGGCCTTCGCAGCTGGAATTCCGAGGGGATGCTGGAGGTGTTCACTTGTGCCCAGCCCCAGAACAGGTAGGATTTTTGCCACGGAGTTGGCAAGAGAGGAGTAGAAGTCTTTTTTTTTTTTTTTGAACTTCTTAAAAATGAAAACAATAGCTATTGGCAGTCGTTTGCCCAAATATGTTTTCTCCCAAGAGCCTATTGCTTGCCACAGTGATTCTCCTGGTTCAGGGAGTGGTGAAAACCTTAAGTTACTGCTTCCTAGATTTTGAGGTAGTCTTTGGCATTTGTTTCACTAGTTTTGCTAGGCCAAATTGTTTCACATGAAGAAATCATGAAGACTAACTTTTTTTTTGAGAGGTTGGCATGCGTCATTATTACCCACCCAATGAATGAATCACCACAAGTAGCAATTAAGCACCTCCCTTGAACTTACTTTTCCTGCTCACTCAGTGTCTGGAGTGTCTGGGTGGGCAGGCCTGGGGCCCGGGCTAACTTGTTTCCAGGTGCTGCTGTGGTAGCTGGTCAGGGGAACCACAGTTTGATAAGGTTTCAGGTGCTCCTGGGAAGTTTCGTTTCTGGAATGTGATTCTCTGATGACGAGGAGCACGGTCACCCAGTCCTGGTCACGGGGTCATACTGCCCAAGGGGGGATGCTCCTGGTGATTGCCACGTGGGTCAGCGTCAGGTCGTGGAGACGGACAACTTTGGGGACTAAAGTGTCATCCACAGCCACGCTGTGGAGCCTGTTGAGACTGAGCTGAAGTTACCCATCCTGCTCTGGGATCTTTCTGGATAAGTGGGAAAGCTGGGGTAAACAGCGTCTCCAGTCGCGTACCAGTGGGGCTTTAGATGCAGACGATGCCAGAAGGAGTCTTGTCTGCCTGCTGGCCTCTAGCGTGTGAATTGAGTTACAGTTTCTTAGGATAGAATCCTGGGGTAAAATTGGCCACGGCATGAAATGGGATTTTTGATTTTAGTCTTGAAAGAGTTCATGTCAATCCTTCAGAGAAGTGCTAAAATAAGATTTCATCAGAAAGCGCCTCAGCCAAATTGCAGTCCTCCCGCACCTCACTAAGACAGAAAGAACATGGAGTCGAAGTGGTGGTCGGGTGTCTCTGGTGCCTGCAGATTAAAGGCCTTCGGGGAGCGACTGCTCTTCAGTCCAGCGCACAGAGATGTCTTCTCCTGTGTGTATCAGCATCTCTGCTTGCCTTGGCATTTCCTCCTGTGTTAAAACGGCGCGTGCAGCTGTTCCAGATCCCGCCGGGGAGTCACTGTGGACCCTTTGACGGCCAGTCCCCATGCTGGGTGCGTACAGTGTGGTGTTCTCACTTGACTGCACAAGGAGGGGTGTCACAGTCCAGCTCGAGGGGCTGGGGGCCATGCTGCTTTGCTTCAGCTCCACCACGCTCTTGGCTGCAGTTGTAGCGGCTCTGGGGACTGCGAGGCCCAGCTCTGTCTACCGGCACATCTGCCGAGCCGCACACTCAGCTGGTTTCCTGTTCTCCCCGGTTCTCTCTGAAAGCCCAGGGTGAGCAGGAGACAGAGGGGAAACATGAGAAGTGTTCTTAATAACTCATTTGAAACAAGTTTTGTTCAAATTATTGAGTAAGCAAAAAGACGGGCAGGGTCAATTAGTTAAGAACAGAGACCTTGGACTGTTTTAGCAGAGAATAGATTTTCACTTATTTAATTTTTAAAAAAGATTTATTTATGCATATAAGAACTGGGGTACAGGTCAGAGGTATGGGGGATGAGAGGATTCCCCAGAGACAGAGTGGGGAGCAGAATAGGCTGACTGAGAAAGTACACTGCTGAGGGGAGCCGCGGGCGCGTCAGAAGAGGTCTGCTGCGCCGTGTGGGTCAGCTCCGGGGCTGGAGGTTGAAATTGCACTGAAGTGGCCGCCACCAACTTTGCAGTGATGCACTCCACCGGCTGCACCATCAGGCAGGGGCTGAGGTGCCCTCATTTTTGAAATTAAAAAAAAAAATGTTTTAAGAAGAAATAAAGCAAGTGCAGACTCACACCTGTGATTTTGCTGTCCGCACCACTCCCCACTATAGGCGACGGCGCACAGGGGTGCCAGGCTGGTCACCTCCGGCTTCCTGTACCCGCCGCTAGTTGACCGGCAAGGCCTCTTGGTTGCTGCTGGCCTCTCTCTTCTGGTGTATGTTAAAGAAATTATAGAAAAAGGAGTTAAAAAGAAAACAAAAGACCCACAGTTCATTTTCCCAAAACATTGGTGGGGGAGGTATTATTGTTGGTTTAGTGAAATAAATATTTTACAAAGCTGAAATCATGAAATTTTGTGCTTTTTAAAACTTAAAATTCTACCTTATCAACGTTTTGAAGTTTGGGACTTATTTTGATTGTTTAATATTCTGTTGAAATCATGAAGGCTGGTTTTGGTGATTGGTGATTTGACAGTATAACAATGAACATCTTGTCAATTCTGCTTTTACTTTTCTTTGAAATTAGGGTGAAAATTTAATATTATGTTTGTGGTATCTGATATGTTCCATAAACTTTTAAATTGAAGTCTTTTTTTTTTTAACTTGGACACCACCTCCAGATTTATTAAATGGATAACTGAAAATTATCTGAAGCATAAAAATATTCAGCCCTTCTAGTTCAAGAATAACTTTTCAGTTTCTGGTTGCCAGTATTCGTCATAGCTTCCACCACTGAGAACCTACTATGTGCTTTATGTTCTTATTGTTTTCTGACATTGCAGATCCTGTTTATTTAATTCAGTGGAACCGCCGGATCAGAATAGTTCACGTGAGCCTGAACTTGTGAACTGAAAATGAATTCGGTTTCTTCATTTCTTCACCATAGGATCTGGCTTATTGAATTGTAGCCCAGGGAACAAGCTCTCAAGCCACCCAGTACTATGACTTTTATTTGTTCTGGCGTCAACACAACAGTGTTTTTTTGCTGATGGTTTCATTTGTAAACTAGATCATGCCCTAGTTGGCTTTTGAACACCTGGTAATAATGTGGCTTAATTGCAGGTCAGTGAAGCCAAACTAATTGCTTCTTGGGCACTTGAACTGTCCTTATAGTTTGCTGTATAATGTGGTCTCTGCACAACACATCACGATCTTAAACTCATTAAAATCATCCCACCAACACGGGAATGCTTGATAGTCCTTCCAGAATTTCGCAAATAAAAAGAAAATTGAATAATATTACAGAGTCGGCATTTACAAGTAATCGTTTCTACATGCTTTTGTATCCCTTTTGGAAGGTGTTCCTAAACTGATTGCAGTGGTTTCTATCAGTGTGATAATTTTCTTTACGAAGGATTGTTTTGCATGGGGCTTTTAGTAGGTTTTAAATAACAATAAGGATGTGAGATTGTGTGATTGGCACTTTACAACAGAGAGCCAGCCTCTGTATGATCACAGCGAGCTTACTTAGTTTTTTACCTCAGACTCTGCAGTCCATCCAGTATGAGGAAGATTCATCCAAATGATTTTGAATTTCAGTCAAAGGAAAGAAACTGTACTGTCCTCCTCAGCTCACAGAATACCAGCCTGAGGGACAGCTCTCAGCTCCTGGCGGCAGTGTTCATAAGCCAGAAAGAGCTTTGACTCTCAGAAGTACTTACTTTCTTACTTTCTCTTGACTACCAGGGCAGCTCTTTGTTGCAAATTTCACCCCCTTCCCTTATTGAGTAGCCTGAGAGGACCAGGACCTGCTGTGGGTATTGGGCACACCCAGTTTGACCAGTTGGCTCCCTCCTTACGATGAATATATAGCCCTAGAGAAAAACCTTTGAAGTACTTTAAGAACTTTATAAAATGTTATTGGAAATGGAGTAATACAATCAAGAAGCATCTACAAAGAAATTTAATAGATGCCGGTATCAGTTTTTTAAAAAGAAAATAACCCATTGCTTGTTTTTTTTTCTTTTCTCTTTGTAGGTTATTTCTTATGAGAGTCATGGATATCCCCTATCTAAACTTGGAAGGCCCAGACTGTAAGTGAATTTTTATTTTCTCATTGCCTCTGCACATTTAAATGTGTGTTTTGGAAGGGATAACAAGAAAACTATTACTGAAGAAAGAACTTTATTCACTTAAAAATGGGCAGTGATTTTGTGGTTGATAGTAATACTGTGCTTAAGTTAATGGTACCCTCAGGCTTTGATTAACTCATCTCTATACTTAAATTTTCCAGTTGATGCATGAGTTGAATTTTTAAAAACAATATCTTCTCTCTCTCTTTTTTTAATTTTCACTCACCTCTACACTCATAGTGTCTTATAAGACTTACAGTAGACTTTAAGATGCACAGGCTACGTCAGTCACTTTATTCTCTAGATATTTGAGTATGTATATATTTAAGCTGTGCAGGATGATTTATTTTTCTCATTGGAAACCTCAGAAGGATAATTTATTCACATCACCCACTCCTCTTTCCTGTTGCTCTTTCCTTGCCTTGGTTTATTTATAAGCCAGAGGGATGTAGGAATGAGTGACTCCTGCTTGATGATGATAATCTTTTGCATAATAGTTTGAGGCCTTGCTCTTTCATGCTGCATCTCAGACGAACATAGTCAGTTGCCACTTGCACGAGTCTGCAAGCTAACTAACTCTCTGCAATCCCAGTTTACAACCAGGAATGTCAGAGTGGTTGGGCTCTTGCTTGGAGTTGTACAGTTACATGGTGGGTCTGGGAGGAGAACACAAGTTTGTGACTCAGGACAGATGCTGCCTACACACAATTATCCCATGGAGTATGAACCGTGTATTATCTTTTCAAAAAACTAAACACGTGGGCAATTAGATTAAAAGGAGAAAGCTAAAGTTTAGTAAAACAACTTGAACAGAACAACCCTTTTTTAAAAAAAATAATTTGCCTAGGAACTTCTTGAGAAAAGATCTTTCTGCATAGCATGGCTAGTGTTCAAGTTGTGGGTCCTGTATTTTTATTTTAATTAATTAATTAAAATTGTTTGTTGGGTGTAGGCCAGAGCTGTAGAGGATGAGAGGATTCACTAGAGATAGAGTGGGGAGCAGAACAGGTGGGTCCACTGACACACTGCTGAGGGGAGCAGCGAGGAAACAGGGGAGGTCTGCTGTGCCATGTGGGTCAGCTCCCTGGCCGGGATTGAACTCAGGACATAGCAGTGACAATGCTGAGATTTAACTTTTAGGCCACAAGGGAGTTGTGGGTTTTATGAAGTATCAAAAATTTGATACATTAGAGGTGTAGGCTAAGATGGCAGAGTTCTGCCAATCTCACGATTAGTAACCCCTGTTTGGTATCCATGAAGCATTCAGAGTGATTTCCCCAAGGTGACTTGGGCTTCGTTTTACCAAAGGACCATTGGTGTAGTGTTCATTTTTCAGCTATCAACCTCTCCTAAAAATGTGTCTTATAGTACAACCTAAACGTGACCATGTTCTTCATGTGACATTCCCCAAAGAATGGAAAACCAGTGACCTTTACAAGCTTTTCAGTGCCTTTGGTAAGTAAATCACAAGCACACACTTTCAGCTTTTTAGAATTTTGCTACACCTGGTTTAGAGATACATGGATGGCCTCAGTTTAAGCATATATTAATATAAAGGTTTTAATCTTGCCTGTGGAATTTGGGGGGGCTTAGTATGCTCCTCTCTTTGTGCTAATGTGGTCTGAGGAACTTTGGAGTTCCACAATGGAGTACTATTTCATGGACACTAAGGTATACTTACTATGACTGCCCATGGCTGACCATGGAAAATAAGTCGAGGAGAAATTACTTCCAGCGTAAATTCAGAGAATGTTTGTTTGCTAAGGGCAGGTGGTTACCACTTGACATCGAATAGTGAAAGCAGACAAAGGTGTCTCAGAGGACCAGGCATGGGGTGTGTGCCAGGTGGGGCTGCTTTGTTTCCTTCCCGTTGAGTCAGGCAATACAGTTCCACTGAGACATTTTCTGATGAGCGTTTGTAAAGACTGTTCTGACCCTACGTCTTCCACGTTGCCTCCTCATTTTAATAGATGAAGTATTTAAGTTGTTTTCTTAAAAAACTCTTGAATTAAGCTAGCAGAGGTAGCAAAAACCTAACTGCTCAGGCAGACTGTAATGAATGTTTATCTATCTCAGCAGACTGGTATGTAGCCATTACAATTATGGAAATTCTTTAAGAGTTGGTAGGGTATTTTTATTTTAGCATTTGGAGTAAAAAGCAGATTCAAAGTAAGATCTCTATATAACTAAAGAAACTTTATATAGAAATCAGACTGCAAAGAGGTATCATGTTATGACCAAGGAGTGTTTTAGGTAGGATTTTTTTCTTCCTCTTTATGCTTTCCTATATTTTCTAAAATAAGCACATGTTAGTTTTTGTAAGTAAAAAGCTTTACACACTTAATTTTAGAAAGGTAAGTGGAACCATATTTCTGAAAAGTTATCCTAGTTTTTGCTGGTTGTCTATAAGTCTTCTGAAATGTAGTCTTGGATTTTAATTTAAATACAGACAAAGAAATGCAGTGGCTAATTTTCCTTGGAAAGCTTTCTGTATGTGTTTGCCCCCCATCTTTGTGTTGTTAAGTTCTCACCCTTTGTAGTCAAGCTGTGACTAAATAAAGTTAATGCTTTCAGCTGTGTGACATAGGGCAAGTCACTTCTCTATGCTTGTGTCTTTGGTGAAGATGATAATCATAACAGTAATCATCAATTAACGTTAATGCCACCTACTTCATAGGCGTGTCATAAGGGTTAAGTGAGCTAATCTGAAGGTTAGTGGGTGTTGTATAGTAGCTACTCAATACATGCTAGTTGCTATTACTTACCTGATCCACAGTGTGCACTCTGGGGAGAGAGGTGACCCCACGATTGTGATTTCTGTGCCTGAGAACGTCACGGGGGCCTCACTGTACAGCGAGAAGTAAGGGTTTTTTCTTTGACGGTGGAAGATGGCAACTTTCAAGGATTTTAGCCTTTGAAAAATTTTAGTAGGAATTAAAATACCTTTCATTGCTAAATTCTGGTGCTTTTTTACCCATTAAAAAAGGTCCAGTCCCCTGTACTTTCTCAGGAAGCGCAGTAGCAAATGATTCGATCTCCGCTTCCCTTCTTTGCATCTCCATTTTCCTAGCCTGCCCTGCTGCTGCTGCTCGCCGCCCTCCGCATCTCCAGCCACCACCAGCACTTAGCCCGGACTGGCTGCTTGTCTCGATGTGACTGTTGTCTTGTCGCACTGGCCTGCCTTTGCCCTCTTTCTTCCCTTTGTCTCAGCTCTGTCCGAGTGTCTCTCCTGCTGCCTCCTTTTCTTTGTCCTCCATTCTCCCACTTGTTTTCTTTATATCAACATTGGATTTTTCATGTTCTTTAAAAAAAAAAAAGATTTATTTTATTTATGCATGCATGCAAGAACTGGGGTCCAGGCCAGAGGTGGGGGGATGTGTGAAAGGATTCGCCAGAGACAGATGCGGAGCAGAACAGGCAGATGGACTGGCAGCGGGGAGACAGGAGAGGTCTGCTGTGCCATGTGGGCCACATCCCTGGTGGGGGACCAAACATGTACTGCAGTGGCTGACAAGAGCTTGATAGTGCTGAGACTTTGATTCCTGCCACCAGGAAGTGCCCCCTTGTTCATATTTTTGCTATGTTGATTCGTTTTATGTTTCTACTCATAGTTTTTGAAGTTTGTGTCTTCAAAAGGAATAGTTGTGATCTCTGATTTTTGTGAGTGATCTTGAAAGGAAAAGTCTCTAACCTTGGCCTGAGATGGGGGTTGAATGATGAAACACCCTAGGATTTGATCCAGAAAAGATCTTTCTTTTGTTTTTAAAACAAATTTTTACTAGTTCTTTCCTCCTGGTTTTTCTCTTCTCTTGAAGCTAAATAACTGCTAGATTTTAACAGTTAGATTTTAACTAGTAGATTTTAGCTCTCAATAGTGCTGAGATTTTGCTCAGGTGATAAACCAGGACCTCATCTTTCTGTTAATACATATACTGAAATATGTTGAAATCTGGTAGCTATCTAGATGACCAGGCATTCACTCCACTTTTAATTTGATGTTATAGGTAACATTCAGATATCCTGGATTGATGACACATCAGCATTTGTCTCCCTCAGCCAGCCTGAACAAGTACAAATTGGTAAGTGGTTGGACTTATGTTTTGTGTATTAACTTAAGTGAGACTCTTCCTCCACCTCCCCCATCAGTGGGATCAGTCAGCTGATCTATAAGCATTGTTGCTGGGGTTCTTTGGAGGCTTTTCTCAGAAATAAATGATTAGTAAGGATCACATGAGATACAAGCTTAAGACAAATTGATTAATTCATTAGCTATACTACATAGTATGTTTTTTCATTTGCCTCCTTTCTGTCTTTTTCTCATTGTGTTTTTTAAAAAAATAAGTTGCAAATTTACTTTGATAATTTCAAGTAGCATTGAGGAAGATTGGTGGCAAGGGGGCAGGGAACCAAGTATTGAGACCTACAGTGACCTCTTCATCTCTGTACTTTTTCTGTGTGTAAATTTGTATGATTTATTTCTTCCATTAAACTTGTATAAGATACTTGTTGATAAATTCCTTGAGAGATATTTTATTTGCTTTTAAGTAGGATTAAATTTAAATAGTAGCCACATCTCTCATTGGATCCTATATAATTTTGTTATTAACCATATAAAACATTTTCTAAGGATGAAATATTGAAGAAAATATGTTTTGTAAGCTACTTAGGATACTAATAAATTTCAAGTATCCTGGTCCTTAATATTGAGAAATGTAAAATTTTGAATGCTGTAACTAAATTACTTTTTCCTTTTATTTAACAAAATATCACATACTAAAGCCATATGATTTTGATAATGGAACTGTATAAGTAATTGAATATAAAAGCACCTGCAAATACACACATTCAGATTATTATACTTTTTTATTGTTTTTAAAAGATTTATTCATCTATACATAGAGAACTGGGGTACAGGCCAGGGGAGCGGGGGATGAGAGGACCCACTAGAGACAGAGTGGGGAGCAGAACAGGCAGAATGACTGAAATACACAGTTGAGGGGAACAGTGGGAGGGTGAGGAGAAGTCTGCTGTGCCATGTGGGTCGCCTCCTGCTGGGGTGGAACTCATCTGCAGAGGCTGCAGTCCTCTCACATTGCTGCACTTTAACCCATTGGGCCACCAGGGAGGGCTTTATTATACTTTAAAAAAAAATTATCGGGCCCTCCCTGGTGGTTTAGCGGGTTAAAGCACTGCACTGAGAAACTAAAGCCACTTCCGCATGAGTTCGATCCCCGCCTGCCCGGGAGGTGGCCGCATGGCGCGGCAGACCTCTCCTGACCCGCCCGCTGCTCCCCTCAGCAGTGTACTTCGTCGATCTGCCTGTTCTGCTCCCCGCTCTGTCTCTGGTGAAGCCTCTCACCCTCCGCATCTCTGGCCTGTACCCCAGTTCTGTATGAATAAATAAATAAATCTTTAAAAAAAAAATTATCAGGCCACTGTAGGAATACAGATTGTATTATAGGGACTGAAAGCTTAAACTCTTAAGTACTGTCTGCATTACTTATATTATATGACAGATTAGGCAAATTATTTAATCTCTGCTTATCTCTGTAAGTTGGGGGTGAGGATATACAGTTCTTCAGGTTATTAGTGATATGAGATTATGTATATAAAGCTTGGCATTGCTTTGAACTTTTATCATGTAGTAGTGGATTTCAATGTACAGTGTACTTTAGGGGTACATAGCACAGGAATAATGTTGGATGCAGTGGGTGAATGATGTTGCTTCTTATGTATTTGCTTAGATTTGTTTCTGTTAGACATTTCCCCACAATCCTTAGAAAGACTATTTAGATAACATCCAAAGGGGCTGAATTATTAGGTGCCAAAGGTAACTTCAAATGGAGGACAGGGACCCTGTGACTAAGCCTGGAGTGAAGCTTCAGCGTGGCTGGGAAAACACCGAACTAGAGCTCACTCCTGGCTGAGTCTTAGACACTTCTCTGCTGGGCGCTGCACTTCAGCCCCTAGCGGGTCACACGCAGGTGACACTGCAGCTGTGCGGTGGACAGAGCAGACCTGTCAGCTTTGACGTCGCTGACACGGGACTGACAGGCTTTGCCACTTGTCAGCCTTGAGTCTTTGGACAGCTTATCTAAGCTCTCTAAACCCCTATTCCTCATCTGAGAGATGGAGATGGTGGTGGTTACTCTGTGAAATCAGATCATGGATATTCAGTTCCCAGCAGTGGGCCGGGCAGTCCACCAGTAGTGCTTGATGAATGGTACGTGATTATTAAAACGTCTGCTTGACCTCCCTGCTGTGAACAGTCAGAATGAGAGTGGGTAGAATGCTTTGGAATCTGTGACACGCAGTGGGCAGCACATATTTGTGTGCGGGTGTCAGCACTTCTCTTACGTTCCTCTTAACCACATCCCACGTCTAGTAATGTCTGCTTCTGACTCATTATGAGAGACTCTTCAAAGAGTAGCTTTTAAGCTAAATGTTTTCCTCAGTAACACCGAAGGCCGAGGGGAGGAGGGACCAGCAGGCAGTGTCCTGGGGCGAGGCAGCTGGGGTGGTCTGGCAGGCTGTGCTGCTACCCTGGGCGGCTCAGGTCTCCATCCCTCTGGTGCCCTGAGGGATGAGTGTGTCTGCAGGTTTTAGGGGGGTGTGCTGCTCCCCGGGGGGCTCAGGTCTCCTCCCTCTGGTGCCCTGAGGGATGAGTGTGTCTGC